CCCCCCCTCGGTCTTTGCTCAAGGGGGGGTGGGCGAGGGAGGGGGAGGGGGTGACGCGTGGTGTGGCTTGGAGATACACTGACGTGATAAATATTGCATGCTCTGGCTTAGGGAGAGGGCGCTGCGATTTCCCGACCCAACCAAAGAAGGAGAAGAAACAGAAGGTGGGACAGGCTGGGCGCGTTCTCCGGGCGCCTCGGGGGCGCGCTCGGACTCTTCCCCCCCCTCCCCAGGCTCACGCTCTAGTCATAATAGGCGATGATGGTTTTTTAAAAAGGGGGTTGGAATTAGAGGCCGATTGTGGCAGGGGTGGGGGCTGGCTTGCTGGAGAGGAAAAGGAGATCAGCTCGGGGCGTCGTCGGGTCAAGCCAGGGCTGGGAAGGCGCCCTAAATGGGTTGGCAGTGACCTCCTCCTTCCAATGGCCAGGATCAGTCCCCAGTGAGGAGAGAAGGCGCTGGATCAGCCCCTCCAGCCTCAGAGATGGGGAGCGCTTTATGGACTCCCTAGATCCGGCCGGGTTGAGGGGTCCCCCTCGGTGACGCTGCCCCCCCTCTCCGAAGAGACCTCAGGAGAGCCCCAGATGGAACGGTAAGGGGTCTGTCTCCGGGTGGGTGGGGGAGCCGGGGCTTCTGCTTGCGGGGAAGGAGACTGAGGACGGTCGGCGGTGCGGAGGAGGAAGAGAGGGAAGGAAAGCGGGAGCCCCCTCTAGGCTCCCCGAAAAGCGCTCCTCAATCCAGGTGCCGCCGTCGAGTCTGACAGCCGGGATCCCGGGAGCGGGAGAGGGGGTCCGGAGTGGGCTGGCCTTTGGGGCAGCCGAAGATCCCCTTCGCCCCCTTTTAACAAGCGTCCCTTAAGGGGCTGGGCTGGGCTGGGCTGACGGGTGGCGCCTGGGGAATGCCCGACGTCTCCGACAGCAGCAAGGCAGACGGGGAGGCGTTGCCACCCACCAGTCCTTCCTCGCGGGTGAGTCCGCGGTGTCTCGCACCCAGAAAACCACTTAGAAAGCTGTCGTTGGGGAGAGGAACTGGGGAGAAGAAAAGGGGCCGATCTAACGGGGAAGTGAGGAAGGGTTTCGAGGGGAGCAACGGGCTCACGGCTCCTCTCCGGGGGAGCCTCCCTTTCTCTCTCTCCGGGACTCTTTTGGAAAGTTGACCTGCAGAAGCAAGGAAGGGCGCCCAGTCCCGCCGATGATGGGATCCCCTCCTTCTTTTTAACAAATCGCTCTGGAACCTGTATGTCAGACAGAAAGGCGGGGAAGGAAGCGAAGGAGAAAAGGTACCCTGTCGCGCAAGGGATGGGGAAGAAAGCAGAAGGGAAGCCAGACAAAAAGAAAGACAGAAAATTCCTCCCCCCCCCCCCCAAAAAATAGTTTGGCTCCTCTGACAGGTGTAGAAATGGTAGCTGCAAGCTTGCTTCCTCGGAGATCTAGCCCATGGAAT